ATATTTTCATTGCTCATCCAGACCTCCTCCAGCACCTCCTGATCATTCTCTTGTAGGAACAAATCCAGATCTTTTCCGTTGAGCCTAATACTTTTCAGCCGATTATGCTGCTTGACGCTTGCGAGAGCGTTAGAAGAGATGTCTGTGATCTGTCAGTAATCACGTCTGGTTTCCATGAATCTTGTGGAACCGACTGCGATCGTAGACTTTCACCAACCACCAACGATTATCCGCAGGAAGATGTCGTCGAGCTGCTTCAAGTCGATGCTCGCCGTAGAGTATAGCCAACTTCTCAGTAACCGGGAGGGACAGGGGTTGGCTGCCTTCTTCGACATCGGAAAGCGAGAAGGATTGTATGCCTGCTTGGGCGAGCGCATCTCGGAACCTGGCTCGATCCATCAAAGCAGGTATTGCATGTCTGTCAATGTCGTTGCCACACCCAAATTTACGGAAACCTTCGACCAGCCGATCGACTTTTGCAGTTTGAATGTGCTTCATTGGATCAGGTTTGAGATTTGCCAAACGTATACGAACGAGGCCCAGCAAGTATGGTTCCTTGGGCGTCATTTCGGCGCACAGGCTGATTCCAGCGTTGGACGGAAACGACACGCTAATTTAATGTTACATCAAAGCACCATTGAGAATTTCCAGGCAGCTGTGACAAAGGACCCCCCCTGCTCCAAGGCGACCCCTCCACCTGCCGTGATCTGGTAAAACAGCGCCTGTTCCAGTCGCTGTGCATACTAAAGATTGGTGACGCCGGTATATGTGGCAGTCTTAACGTGCGCCTCTGCGTGCTGTTTGAAACCAGTAGTGATGGGTCGCGGCAAAAGATTCTACGGAGGGCTACATACTGAACTTACTCTATTCAAGCCTCTGAAAGTCTAATATCCTTGTCGCTCCTGTAGCGAAGCGGTTGGCACCGCCAATCGAAGAGGAGCTCGTGAACTGGTGCCCCGCGCCACATTATCCCTTCTCGCGAAACCGCGGATCTGCCGGAAGACGTCTCCAGCGAACAAGGGGTAAGTTACTATTGCAGCAGCCAAGAGCTGGGCATCTTGACAACTCAAAAGAACCACATTCCACAACCTGGCCGATCCATCTTTCCATCCCACTCATGTCTTCGTGGCCTCACGACACCAACGGCACCCAGACAACTTGGCCAGATTCTTTGCCACCCGACCACGTATTTTCATTCAATGAAATTCCTCGCGTACCCCATGATCAGAGCACTTCTCGCTGTGCTCATCATCGTCTGCATTGTTCAAAGCGGTATTGTTTCGCACACGTGTGTTTTGTTGAACAAGACCGGAACGTCGCCGCCACGTCCTCATGCGACGTCAAAGACATTCACAGAAGCTGGCAATACGACAGAATGGCGCTATGATGCAGACAAGCACTCCGAAAACATTGCATTCGATTCAAAACAATGCGACGCGGCTTTTCCAAACTTATGGCGCGAGATCGATCGGGCGCATGCCTTCTGGACCAGTCAACTCCCGCGCCAGATAACCATCAATGACACCTCACTCGATCGCTGGGGAGGTGGTGTCTCTCGGTGTTTGATTCACAACAACCGACTTCGTATCCTACAAACCAAAGGCATCTTCGGCGTTGAAGGTTCGCAATTGCCCGAGCGATCCTTGGCCGTATGGCAGCAAATCCACCGCGCCCTTCTCGGGGCCACTGCGTCGGGAGAAAATCTCCCAGACATCGAATTCCCACTCAGCGTCGAAGATCGACCGGACACCGTCGGTGGCCAGAATG